CACCTCCTTGCTAGGATGTTCAATAAGACACACAAACTCTATTACAAACAGAAATAAAAACAAGAATATGTTTATTTTGTCCTTGAACATTAAAGATGCCTAGTAGTTTCAATAAAGTGTCAGGATTTACTTTTACAGAGAATGGTTTTATAACATGAGTTTCTTGAAAACTATGTTCCTCACACAGGAATACGAACAGGTTATTTAAACCTTTTGAATTCTCTTCCTCTGAGGCTTCAACACCAGCGGTCTAAAACCATAGAGGCTCACTCTATTTCTTAATCCTTCTCCCTGAAGGCTTTAATTGCTTTCCTCAAAGAGATATTTTTCTATTAACAGTTCCCAAAACCCTCCTCCCCGCTTCCTTCCCCTTCAAAACTCCTAAACTAACTTCTTCTTCAAACTTCAAACTCTAACTCCCAGCTGACAAAACTCTGACTGCATAGCTCTTTCTTTTCCTCTGGCTCCACCCATCTCCAGTTGTCAAGCAACTCCCTCCAATTTCATCAGCCAATCAGACTGCACCAGCTATGAAGCTGCCTGATCAATTCTCCGCCCTACTCTCCTTAGCCTTTTCAAGCCAGGCCTGTTACTGCCTTACACCAACCTTGTAAAGTTGGCTAATCTGTTACACTGGGATAGGAATGATAAGGCCCTTCAGCTGTTCTCAAACTCCAATTCCTCACCATTCGCCATGCTGGCGAGGGCTGCTGAGACTTGCAATCAGCAACATCTGGAGGGTTGTACGTAGGATTCCCCCCACCCATTGTCCTCTAATGGACTCCTGCTCCTTTAGACAACCCCTTCCAGTCTTTCCTGCTTTTCCTTTTGTCTCGAACAGCAGCTCAGAAGGCCTCTATGAGGATATATCTCATATCTTTTTCAAATATAGTATGACCCATGTATTTGTGATACCGGTACCTGTGGTTTCATTTACCAAATCCAAAAAATATGTAAACACTAAGCATTTTCTAGGTCTTCAAGCACATCTCTATGATATTCTTGGGTCAGACGCCCTTCATTTAAATAAGATTCGCTATCATCTGTGGTTTTACATGTCGATGCAAAGTCCAGGAATGTATCTTCAGTGGGTATGGGGATGATATTTTCTCTTTCTGAATGCCTTGCTAAGTGTAACTGATATAATACCTGCAGTATATAACTTTGATCTTTACTCTAATTACATTTTCTTTCCCATCTGCCGTCTACCTTTCGTCTTCTCTAGACAATATCCTGCTTATGGGGAACAGACCTATCCTCTCATTCAATGAAAGTACCATATCCACTATTAAATCTCAAATAAACTGATCCCAATTAATTTAGAAAGCAGTTTTTTAAAAACCTACAGGCTTTAACATGATCCTACATATGTTTATTTGGAGGAGAACAAAGTAGCCGACTCCAGTGGGACTTATTTTATGTTTATATGCTCCTTGATTAATTTTAATATTAGGCTCTTACAGCTAGTTACAGCTCGAAGCTGTAATAGCATAAAATAAGCATCTTAAAATACAATAAACACATGAAACAACAATAAAAACTTAACAGGAAGAGAGCAACACCGATAGCTAGTAGAAACAAAAGGAAAGATCAGAATAAAGCAGCAGACATAAACAAAGCAAACACCCAAAGATTGAGAGGCAATTAGCCAGGCAGGCTTCTCTTGAGAAGGAATTCCAATGATCAGCTATCAAACTGAAATAATGGGAAGTTTCACTGTACTTCGCCCATTGCCATCTCAATACATAAATGGGAATACAAAAGAGGAAAATCTCTCTTTGAAGTAGTCTGGAAACAAACCAGCAACAAGAACAATTCCTTGAAGTCTGATCCATACAGTGGCATTCTGAGTGCATCTACACTGTAGAATTGATGCAATTTTGCAACACTTTGACGGTCATGGCTCAATGTTATGGATTCCTGGGAGCTGTAGTTTTACATGATCTTTAGCCTCCTCTGCCAAAGAGCCCTGGTGCTTCATCAAACTACAACTCCCATGATTCCATAGCACTGAGCCATGGCAGTTAAAGTGGTGTCAAACTGCATTGATTCTACAGTATAGATGCACCCCTAGAACTGAAGGAATTTATGCCTAGAACTGAAGGACATTAAACAGTATAGAATACTTTATAGTAAGGGTGGGAATTGTACATCCCTTCAGTTTTTATTGGACTGTAATTCCTCACCACTGGCTAAGGCCTTTTCTACACTGCCATATAATCCAAATAATCCACTTTATCTGCCTTGAACTGGATTATATGACTCTGCACTGCCATATAATCCAGTTCAAAGCAGATAATCTGGATTTTATATGGCAGTGTAGAAGGGGCCTAAAATGGCTGTGGCTGCTGAGACTTGCAGTTCAGCAACATCTGGAGGGTTGTATGCTTCCTAGCCTTAGTTGTTGTTGTTATGCACCTTCATGTTGACTCCAATTTATCTCAATAGTATCATAACTTTTCTTTTTGCAATATTTATTCAGGGGATGGTTTCATTGTCCCTATACACTGCCATATAAAATCCATATCATCTGCTTTGAACTGGATTATCTGACAGTGTAGACTCACATAATCTAGTTCAAAGAAGATATTGTGTATCACCTGCTTTGATAATCTTGATTATATGGCAATGTAGAAGGGGACATAGTTATTTGGGCAAAAGTTTCCATGGCTGAGCGGAGATGTTAACCCTGGACTCCCAAAGTCCTAGCCTAACATATTGGATGACACCATTTATTTGCAGGAGTGGATGATGTTATTAGGTGGCTACTTCCATTAGGGAGGTGAAAGCCAGTAATGAGAAGAGATAATTTACAGTCCAACATTTGGATGCCCAGATATTGTCCAATCTCATATTAGACCTGTCCCTATATATTCTGATAGACCCATGCTGGGAGAAGGACAGAACAGCTAGGTCTCATCCTCCTGTTGAACTTTTCAGCAGCTTTTGATATCATTGACAATATCAACATTTCCTATGGCAGTTTGGTGTAGTGGTGGGAGGGGTGGACTGGGACCTGGGATAAAAAAATACATTTCCCCACTGAGCCATAAACTACACAGTTTTTCGCAGCCTGATCTACCTGATAGGGTTATTCTGAGGATGTGGTCTTGAAAATAACATGGATACTGTGCTAGATTGTCCTTGTGGTCTCTTCCAGCCCCAGTCTCTTTTGGAATGCAAATAAAATAGAATGAAACCGAATGTACTTAAGTTCCAATACCAAAGACAGCATCTGCATTCAAGATTGGATTCAGACCGCTGGGAAAGGTCATCTGGAGTTCGATGCCACCTATATGTAGACGACACCCAACTCTACTACTACTTCCCACCTAAAGCCAAGGAAGTTGTCCTGACTATAAACTAGTTCTGTCATCTATAATGGAATAGATGAGTGCAAACAAATTGAAACTTAATCCAGACAAGACAGAGGTACTCCTGGTAGGTCATAAAACAGACTAGGGAATAGGTATTCAGCCTGTGCTGGATGGGGTTATACTTTCCATGCAGATACAGGTCAGCAGTTTGAGGGTCCTCCTGGACTTGGTTTTGAACCTGGAGGTCCAGGTGTCAGTGTTGGCTGGGAGGGCCTTTGCAAATTTAAATCTTGTGCACCCATTCCTTGAGAAACCAGATCTGGCCACAGTGATACACTCCTTAGTTACATCTCATCTGGATTACTGTAATGTGCTCTATGTGGGGTTGCCTCTGAAGAGTGCTCAGAAACTCCAGCTGGTCAAAAGAGCTGCAGCCAGGTTGCTAACTGGGGCTGGCTGAAGGAATTGGACAACCCCCACCCACAGCCCCAGCCCTGTTGCAGCAGCTCCACTGGCTGCCAGTGTGTTATCGGACACAATTCAAAGTGCTGGTTATGATCTTTAAAGCTCTAGATTAGGCAAGGGCAAACTTTGACCCTCCAGGTTTTGGACTTCAACTCCCACAATTCCTAACAGCCTATCGGCTGTTAGGAAATGTGGGAGTTAAAGTCCAAAACACCCAGAGGGCCGAAGTTTGCTCATGCCCGCCCTAGATGGTTCAGGTCCAGGTTGACTGCATTTCCTTATACGAACCTTTTCATGCCTTTAGATCTCCAGGAGAGGCCCTTCCCTCAGTCCCACCTCCATCTCAAGCTCAGTTGGTGGGAACGAAGGCTGTCTCTTTACTCTGGAACTCCCTGCCCAGGGAAACCAGAATGGACCTTCCCTGCTGTCCTTCCAGTGGCAGGCTAAAACCTTTCTATTTAGGCAGGCTTTTAAAGATGGTGTTTAAAACCATCAAGGGCTGCTGTGATTTTGTGATGTGATTTTATATGCTTTTATGGTTTTAACCTGGATTGTTTTAATAGTAATGTTTACTACGATTTTAATATTTGTATATTTTAAGTTGTATTCAAATGTTTTTAGTTGAGAGCTGCTTTGAGTCTCCGTATGGAAAGAAAAGTGGGATATATATATGTGTGTGTGTGTGTGTATATATATGTGTGTATATGTGGTTTTGCACATGCATTGTAATTATTTTTTATTTTTTGGCTTTTTAAGTCTCTTCCGCTGTGTTTTTTAGTGTTTTATGAGTAATGGTCACTCGTTGGCCTGATGGTTGTATTGTGTCCAAATTTGGTCTCAATTTGCCCAGTGGTTTTTTAGTTATGTTAATCCCACAAACAAACATTACATTAATATAGACTAGCTGTACCTGCCTTGTGTTGCTGTGGACAACCTTCCCTCCCTCTTTCTTTCTTTCTTTCTCTCCTTCCTTCTCTCTTTCCTTCCTTCCTTCCCTCAATACCTCTTTCCTTCCTTCCCTTTTTCTTTCTCTCCTTTCTTGCTTCTCTCCCTATTCTTGGACTGTAACTCTCAGCAGCCCGCCTGATTGTTCTGTCTACCTACTATCTATCTCTATCTAATCTATATATCTTATCTATCTGGAGGATTGCTGGGAGTTGCAGTCTAGGCATGGGAAATATGTATGGATTTGGATGCTCTCAAAGAAATCCAAGGAAAGTGCACGTTTTGGCAACACCTATATTAAAATTGGAACGATACAGAGAAGATTAGCATGGCCCCTGCGCAAGGATGACAGGCAAATTTGTGAAGCGTTCTATTTTTTTAAAAAAAAAGAAAAGAAAATTAAAAGAAATCCAAGGAGAAGCAAGACTGCAGCTTGGAAGCAGTGCATTTGGAGCATCCTCCTCCCCTAAAGGGCCTGGTCTAGGGGATGCTGGGAGCTGTCGTTTTCGCACATGTGCTTTATCATCATTTAGTTTTTTGGGTGTTTTAAAGTCCTTTCCGCTATTTTTTGGGAGGGGTTTATGAGTGATGGTCACTCGTTTGTCTGTTAGGGGTGTAATGTCCAAATTTCATGTCAATTCATCCAGTGGTTTTTGAGTTATGTTAATCCCACAAACGAACATTTGATTGATAGATAGATAGATAGATAGATAGAAACATTGCTCTTCCCATTATTTTTATCACTGTCCTAGAATGGTAGAGCTTGAAGAGACCACAAGGGTGATCTTAGTTTATCCCCCTGCCAGGCAGGAACAACTCATAACGAAAGCATTTCTGAAATATGCTCATCTAGTGTACTGTATTTGTGTTGTTGTTTTTACCTATGTCGACCCTATCGGCAAACCTATCACAAAGTTTTCTTACCATGATTTTGTTTGGCCGCCTTTGTGTCCCAATGAGGCTGTGAGAGAGTGACCCAGTGATTTTCCATGGCTGAGCAGGAATTCAATCCCTGGTCCCCAGAGTCACAGTCCAACACTCAAACCGTCACACCATACTCTTAGGGCGCATTTACGCTGAATAACAGGTCTGGGCAAACTTCGGCCCTCCAGATGTTTTGGACTTGTAACTCCCACACTTACCAACAGCCTACCGGCATGACTCCAGAGCACTAACTTTGAGGGAGGAAAGTAAGGCAGCCTGCCTGGAAACTACTTGCCCCAGGATGCAACGCGGCTCCTGGCTGTACTTCCCCCAAGCACCGCCTGTTACCCATTCCCTCTCCACGGAAGCACCGCAGCCCCCCGCCCCACTCGAAAACCCAACGCGCCCATTGAGTTCACGTGACCCCCAAAAAGAAGGGGGGGAGAAGTGTCTCCGCCTTCCCAGCCTGTCACTGGTCAACGTCTTCACGAATCACGTCCTTCCACTTAGCACAGCCCTTTGCCATTGGCGGAGGCGGACAAAACCACCGCCTCCTTTGATCCGCGCCCTATAGGCCTCGCTCCTGATTGGCTACCGGCCTCCTCTTTTGAAGTACCTGTCGCTCTGTGACAGGTTAGAGKCGAGTTCCTGACAAACTGGGTGTGTGTGTGTTAGTGCGCGAGCGCGGAGAAGGGGCGGGGCGGAGGGAYGGGAGAGTCCGACTCCCCTTGGCTCCGCCCACCTCGTGAGCATGTCAGCGGTTGCCTCAATTAACCGTCCGCGGGCGCGCGCGCGCCGGCCCCGCCCCTTTCCCCCCCTCTCTTCACGGACAGGGGCACGCGCCTCCATTGCTCAGACTCAGAAGGGCGTCCCTCCTGGCTCCGCCCCCTTTCCCCGATCTTATAGCCTCCCAGCCACGCCTCTTCCCCTTCCCCCTCCCTCTTCTACCGCACATCTCGCGGGCGGGCGCGCGCGCTGCTCGGGTCTCGCGCCCGAACGTTGCCTCGCGTCGCCTGTCTCGCGCCGCACTGGGATGTTGGCAGGCGGCGGTGGGGTCAGTGGAGAGGAGGGAGCGGCGGGAGTGGCGTGAGAGGGGCGCGGGAAGGGAAGGCGAGGCGACGTCCCGAGCCCGTCCCCCGCTTTCTCCTCCTCCTCCTCCTGAAGCGCGCTGAGGGAACGGGGCGGGCTCTGCTCCTCCTCCTCCGCCGCCGCGCGTGAGGCGGAGAGAGGCAGGGAGAGACAGCGAGGAGCCCGCGGAGCAAGCAACATGGCGGAACACTCAGCCCCCGACCAGAAGCACAAGCCCGGCGCCGCCGCCGCCGCCTCTGCCTCCTCGTCGACGTCGTCGTCTTCCAACTCCGCTGCCGGCTCCCAAGCGCTGGCCAACAGCAGGAGCTCCTCCTCGGCGACGGCGACCGGAGCCGGGCCCCCAACGGGAGGCGGAGGCCTGTCGGGGGGCCTGTCGCAGCCGGCGGGCTGGCAGTCGCTGCTCTCCTTCACCATCCTCTTCCTGGCCTGGCTGGCCGGCTTCAGCTCCAGGCTATTCGCCGTCATCCGCTTCGAGAGCATCATCCACGAGTTCGACCCTTGGTAAGAGCAAGGCGAGGGAGGGAGGAAGGAAGGAAGGAGGGGACAGGTCTCTCTTCCTCTCGCGTTCTTTCCGAAGTGAAATTGGGGTGAAGGTCGCTCCGTTGGGGCTCAGAGCGGGAGGCCCAAGGGCTGAGGAGTTGCCTCTGTGGGTGAAAGGTGGCGAGGGCGGCCCGCGGGAAAGCCTCGCCTTGGAAGACAGTCAAAGCACCCCCGACAGATGGCCATCCCGCCTCCGCCTCGAAACCTTCCCAGGAGGGATTTCCAAGACTTGCCTGCGGTTCTGGAATTGCTCCTGCCTATTTTTTTCCCTTGCGCTCCGAGCTCCTCTCTCCCTCCTTGGCCCAGGAAGTCAAGGACGCCCGAGGCTTTCAACTTTGGCCCCTTCCACACAGTAAAATTCCACAGTATCTGCTTTGAAGTGGAGTAAATGGCAGTGTGGACTCAGATAACCCAGTTCAAAGCAGATATTGTGGGATTTTCTTCCTTGATACTCTGGATTATATGGCTGTGTAGAAGGGCCCTTGAAGAGATAGTGTCTTGGGGCCCTTCCACACAACCCTATATCTCAGAATATCAAGGCAGAAAATCCCACAATATCTGCTTTGAACTGGGTTATCTGAGGGCCCTTCCACGCAGCTCTATATCCCAGGATATCAGAGCAGAAAATCCCACAGCTGAGTGTAGACTCAGATAACCCAGTTCAAAGCAGATAATGTGAGATTTTCTGCCTTGATATTCTGGGATATAGAGCTGTATGGAAGGGCCCTGAGTCTACATTGCCATATATTCCAATTCAAAGCAGATTTTCAACCTCTATATTCTGAGTTATATGGCTGTGTGGAAGAGCCCTGGCAGGTTGGGCTCCTTTCCGCCAAACTTGTGCAACAGCACCCGTTGCGGCAGAGAGGCGGGCGTCCCTCCATGTGGCTTGCAAGACAGAGGAAGAGCAGCAGCGAGTAATGCTATTGACAGGATGTTGGTTGCGAAGCCCCAGAGAGAGGGAGAGGCAGGGAGTAAGTGCGCATTGCATTACAGGTGGGCTGTGTTCCCGGTGAGGTTTAGGGCGCATGGACTCCACACCGTGGCAGCCGAGCCACCCCTGCAGTCCTGAAAGGCACTATAACCCCAGTAGAAGGCAAAGCAGCATCACTCAGTTTTTTTCAGTGCTATGCAAAAATCTTAGGAGACTGTCTGCAGCAATGGTATTTAGGACGCCAGAGGTAATTGGAGAGTTGCATGCAAAGAGTATTTCTGGTAAAATTGTGCTGTGGCTTTGTAATAGGTTGAAATGCTAATTATGATTTAAGTTGCTGTGAGTTTTCCAGGCTGCATGGCCATTTTCCAGAAGCATTCTCTCCTGATGTTTCGCCCACATCTATGGCAGGCATCCTCAGAAGTTGTGAGGTCTGTTGGAAACTATGGGCTCTTCCACACAGCCATATAACTCAGAATTTTAAGGCACAAAATTCCACAATGTCTGCTTTGAACTGGATTATCTGAGTCCACACTGTCATATATTCCACCTCAAAGCTGAAAATGTGGGATTTTATTCAGCTGTGTAGAAGAGTCCTAAGCAAGTGAGGGTTTATATATCTGTGGAAGGCCCAGGGTGGGAGAAAGAACTCATGTCTGTTGGAGGCAAGTGTGAATGTTGCAATTAATCACCTTGATTAGCATTTCAAAGCCTTGCAGCTTCAAGGCCTGGCTGATTCCTGCCTGGGGGAATCCCTTCTTGGGAGGTGTAATTATGATTTATTTGCACATATTGTTAGTACAGGGTATCTGAGGGTTTTTCCCCTCCTTTCATGGTGTAACACCCATGTTGTATGCAATACAAGAGAAAATCTAAGAATTCATGCAATATCTCTGACAAATCATAATTTCTGCATGCTTATGTGCTAGATTGTTTGATTTTAATTGAGATTTCCTTTCTTGGGATAGCAGTCATTCTTGAATGTGCCAACAAGTGCATCTTTCATAGATTATTTTTTACTTGAAGCTTCCGGTGCCTCAGATGGTGTCTTTCAATCACATAAGCAGGCAGTTATATTGAAGTATCAAGCTGTATGGAGATTTGTGTATTTTCTGTCTGGTGAATTAGGTCTTCTGTTTTTATTATTATTATTGCCAGTTGTTCACATGCTGCTGTTCATCCAGATAGAATATTTTGGATTAGTGAAGACTGCTACATGGAAATTCATTGGAACATGTCTGGAAAGCCGCTTCAAATTCTACATACATGTTTTAATTGCTTATATTTTGGGATTGTTTTATCTTTTGGTGTGATGTGATTTATTGTTTACTGGTGCGGCATTTAAGTTTTGCCGGATTTGTAAGCTGCCTTGAGGCCCCTCCAGGGTTGAGAAAGGTGGGGTAGAAATGAAGTAAATACAATAAATACAATAAATAAATCAGTGTGGACTTACTGTTGGTAATGTGATGAAATCAAAAGAAGATCTTTCAAGCTCAGTTGAGCAGTTTATTAAACGATCTTAGGCAATCTTTCTTACATTGGTGCATATCTTTCAATTTAAACTACTTTCTTCTATGTATGTTATGTGTCGTGCTGTCAATTTTCTGTTAAAAATAAATTGTATCTTTGGAGGAAATGGTGTGGTACAAGGGTTAAACTTCCATTCTACCGCCTCTGCTCTTATTTTGTGGGGGAAGGGAGGGAGGAGTAAGATGCCCAGTCTTTGCTCTCCCAGCATCATGTTTAGTTTGTTGCTTGGATAGTACAGCAACCTGCTTTATAAAGAGTGTACCAGTTTCCATACACTCCAGTGTCACTTTTTCTCTCAGTTTTTTGTGCTGCTTTTGTCAAAAGAATTTGTGCTAGATAATTAAAATCTGGACCTTAGTTATA